ACAGTCAGTTTTGTCAGTGATGTCAGCAATGAAGTTGAAGGAATAGAATTTCACAGAATGACTTTGGTGTCTGAATCATTGGAAATGTCAGAAAAATATTAGCTTCTGACTAATGCAGACAGAAAGGGTTCTTTTTGTTTTTTTCCCTCCGTGGAGAAGGGGAATGGACCTGCTTATCTGGGGAGAAGAGCAGAGAACGACTGAAAAATTTGGTAACATAGTGATGACGTGGTAAAGCCAGTCAAGGAAAGGTTTTAGGGTCGGGTCCGTATAGAATCTTTAGTGACAAAGTAGCCCTTCCATCTGGAACATGTATCTGGAAAAACCAGAAGTTTTGTTCATGTATACACAAGCAGAATGTTGGGTTTCAGAGGATCGGGGCCCCTTCCTTGCTGTTGTACCTTCTAGCTGTGCTTTGAGTTCTGAAGACGAGAAGCAGAGCTTCATTTATCTGTCCTACAAAACAAAGCTGATATCCCGACTGAGCAATGAGAAGGCAATGCCTGGGAGAGCAGATCTTCAAGGCTCTGCCAACGTATGACTTTTGCCATAATACTAAATGTACTGTTGAGAATGTTCCTTGTTTTGAAATATAAATGAAAATTCCACCACTTGCATAAAAAGGTAGGAGCTCCCTTCCCTCTTAAAAGCATTCTCAAATCCCTGAAAACTCTATATTAAATGTCATCACCAGATCTTCTAGTGGAAGCAAGAGAAATACTGCACAGTGTTCCCCAGTTCCCATTTTTGTGTGATACAGTGGACGTTTTCCGGAAGCGGGGAGATAATTAGAAAGTTTACATTTGTGAAATAGTAAGAAAAGCAGTTCCAGGTTTCATCCTCAAAGAGGATTGCAAATATCAATGTTTTGTTTCTTAATATATTACTCATTCCATTAGAAAAAAGTCTAGAGTTTAATAACGGCATTTTAATCTTCAATTTTACCACAGGTTAGTGCATATACATTAGTGTATACTCTTAGGCAGTCTTTGTACACAGATTTCAGAAGGAAGAACCTTTCTATTTGCCAGCATATACATACCTTAACATTAAATGCACTTAAGCACAAATTGCTGTGAATTTGATACTACAATTTAAAAATGAGTAACAATAAAACCATGGTATAGATGCAAGAGTGAACATAACCTTACAGGCTGGCAGATGAGTGAGATTATATAATAAGCAGAGAAAAAGTCGATACTACCGTAAATTGTTGATCGAGCTAGTAGAGCATTTCTTCACCTAAGGCCTCCTTGGAAAGTGCTCATTCATCATAAGTCAAACTGTTTGTGTGAACGGACTTACTCTAACAGTTTTCTGTTTTAAAAACAACAGTGATCCACTCCATCCATTTTGATATTTCCAAACTGTTAGGATTTTTTATTCGATTTTACAATTCACTTTTAGCTCTGTTTCCTAACAAGAGGCTCTCAAAATTATGTGGCTTCAAAAAGGGACTAGATAAATTCATGAAGGTCCATCAATGTCCCCAAATAGGATGTTGCAAATGCAGCTACTGACTACTGACTGCCAAAATCTCAGACACTAAACTAGGAAAAGATGACTCTATAGGCACACTGCTTCCAACACCCTTTTCTTAAAAATCTATCCCTATTCTTTTTCAAGCCAACTAGACAGAGGTAGAACAACTCTTGGTTTGACCCAATGTGCCTGCTGTTTTGCTGTTAAAGGCAGAAGAGAAATTAGAGAAAAAAGATGTTTTTAAAATCTCATCCAGACCCTAAATAATTACTTCCAATGTGTTATCTGCAGACCACAGTTTCCCTTAGGCCTACATGGCAGAAGATCACCTGGAGAGTGAGGGGAAGCTCAGCATGATCCCTCTGCCCTCCATGGGAGAGTCTGGTTGGGAATAGGATGAGAGAGGAACCCGCAATCAAAGCAGAAAACCGGTGCTACTGCCCATCTCCTTCATAATTCCTCTTAGGAAAAGGGAAAAAAAAAAAGAAAAAAAAAGAGAGAACGAGAGAGAGAAAAAGAAAGAAGATGGAGTGCCTAAAGCTGGAAGAGAAGGGGCAAGGAACACTGGGATGTGTGTGGGAAAGGGAGAGGTGTTACGGCCATCCACATGGGATATTAACAAGAGGTTACAATCAGATGCTGGAGGGACCTCTGACAGAAACATCTGGAAAAGAATGATCCAAAATCAATTGGTAGATGGAAAGGGAGTGAGCACAGATATCCAAGGAAAAGCATTGTGCTCTAGTGTTTCCAAAATAGAATCAAACCCAGCACCTATACCATTAAATTAAACAGAGGCAGGACATGGCCACAGGAACAGAATTTTCTTTATCGATGACCAGCGAGCACAGACCACGTACTGGAAGGTATTTGCATGCTTGCTTTAAATATAAGATAAATTTGCACCAAGTGGGTTCTGCAGCTCTACTCAGACTAAGGAGACAGTTTTTCTGCTAGACTGTCTAAACGTGATAGTGCGCCAGAATGCCTTGCCCTGGGAATTTGAACTGACTTACCCTAAACTTACCAAGAAATCCAAGGTCCTTCCTGAAGCAAGATGCTTGTTCATAAGACAGAAATATTTCCACAAACGTTTGTTGCTAACTGCAAGATTTCCGTAACTCTGTATGCTTATCTTTCACTGAGGACACTGCTTTGCAGTAAAACAGGTGGCATTCACAAAACTTGACAGTCTATGCTGTAATTTTCCTCATCTAGAAGGGCTGTCAGGAGTCTGCTTTGGGCAACACAGGCAGTTGTTTGAATGTAAACACAATCAAAAGAGAAGCTCAACTGACTTTTTGTTCACTTTTACACACTTCTTTATTTGCAAGTCTCCTGCCGTCATATTTCTCATTTAGCTACCAAAAAATTACTTCCCGCTTTGCTGCACGTAATTCTGTTATTACACAGACTGCAGGTGCACACAGAGGCGCAGGGGAAGTTTCTACTGCTTTCTCTGCCCAGTGCTGTGTCTCCTCACATTGTCCACAATTTTGTCAGGGCTTGATCCAAGGTGCAGAAAACTGAACAGGAGTCTTTCCACTGATATCACTGAGTTTTGGAGGAGATGGCTGATAGCAGAGCTTAAAAAGCAGAGAATTGAGAACTGAGAATTAGTTCTCGATTGGTGGGAGTGGCAGTTAGAGGGTTCGTCCTTCCTGGGGGATCATGCTGGGGTTAAGGCTGCCAACCTTCACGTATTGACTAATGTTAAAGAAGCCTCAGACAGAATAGCTATTTTGTAGCTTAAGGCTGTGGTAAGGGAAGGCAGGAGAACTTTGTCAGCTACCTGGCTGCTGTTTGCCAGCAATTTTTCATCAGATGATTTTTCAGAAAAAGACAAATGTGACTTTATGGTGAAAACAGTCTGTATGATATCAGACTGATCCTCCCTCCATTTCTGAGGCATCTTGCCTTGATTCCCGTATTTCCGCTTTCATAGAGGTTCGTGTCCTGCTCAGGTTAACACAGAGTGAGAGGGTAACAGTCACCGCTACAAGACAATTACAACTGAAAATCAATGAGAAGGAAGTTAACAGTTCACCTCCTCCTAAAGTAGGGACCTACATTTGGTCAAAAACTCTAGAAGCTGGGATTTTTTTCCCCCTCCATTGAAGATGAGGGGAGCCTATGATGACCGCTTCAGATGCACATGTGCAAACATATAGACTTCCAGATACCTCCACATCTAGTGCTATTTGAGACATCCTATGATATCCAAGATAGCTCAGGGATGACAGATATGACAGAAGGCCTGCAGGAGACCCATGCTGTCCTGGAGAGACAGAAAGACAAATACTTTTGTATTCGCAAATACATATTTTTAATGTTAATTTTTATTTTTCCCCAAAATTGAAATTCTCTACAGGGAAATAAAAGAATATATAGATTCTAAGTACAAACTACAGGTACGTATGCATGTATGTATATACATATATATATACATACATTTATATATGCAATGAATAATTGTTTTACTAGTTAAACCTTTTCTAGTAAGCTTAGCTTTAACTTTATAGTTATATCCTAAAATTTAATAGCTGTAAAATTCTTTGATTCTGACTGTGATGAGTAAAACAAAATTAAATCTATATTGATCTTCAAATAAAAAAAACCATAGCCCTAAAATACTTTTCAGGCTGGGACGCAAAGTGAGAACCTTTCCTGGAGCACTGACTACTTCTGACTCTTTTCTGAACATCCTCCCACTGAGGGAATTCCACCTCACCAGGAGGAGCACTTGATAACTGAGAGACAAAAAGAGACATGTTCTTGAGGAAAGCATAAGTTTTCCAGACAATTATTGTGGACTAACGATGTAGCAAATATAGTATTCTTCATCATCGTCACCATCATGTCAGGTAGGGACAAGTTAGGAAACTTGCATACAACCGCTGAGGCTTTCTGATTTCACATAGTAGGTAGAGAACCATTATACCAGGTGTTCTGGTTATGTATATTCAATAACAGTATTTTTTTTCATTTGTTCATTACCAAGAATCAAGGTTACCATTTCTTTCTCACACCTACTCACTTCTCAGGTAACACTATTATTTTATACTCTGGAAGAAAATGCTGCTTCTTGCACTAGTAAGTATGTTAAAATGAATCTCTTAAACCTTGAAAGATGCAGCAGGATGCCAAAAGGAATTTCAAGAATGAACCCCAAACTTAAGCTAAACTTAATATCCTGCTTTGTCCTATACAGGCAGTTCATTTGGGATTTAATTCAATGGCTATTAAAATCAACGAGTAGCTTTTTAAAGTGTATTTTATCATTCATGACAGGGATGCTGAACATGGAGAATCTCAGAATATCAGGCCATGTATTTAAGTACCTGCATGTAAATTCTGGTATCTAGCTTTAGACAGACACATATGAGCATTTTGCATTTGTTTAACTACTGAGAAAATCATACAAAACTTAGCTACAAGTTTTTTTAACTGCTGCGGGATGAAAACATGTGAGCCTCGGTTATATATAAACATACGTATTTTTTGTGTTATCATTTCAGGTCATGGAACCAAAGGAGTGTTTGAACTTCTTTCAGGGTGGCGTCGAACCAGAGAGAATCTGCCATTCAAGGACAGAGTAGCAGATGCCTACTCGGATGTCATGGTCTCCTATACAATGACAAGCTCCTTGTATTTCATAGCCTTCGGCATGGGTGCCAGCCCTTTCACCAACATTGAAGCTGTAAAAGTCTTTTGCCAGAATATGTGTGTCTCCATTCTATTGAACTACTTCTATATCTTCTCCTTCTTTGGCTCCTGCCTGGTCTTTGCTGGCCAGTTGGAGCAGAACCGTTATCACAGCATCTTCTGCTGTAAAATCCCTTCAGCAGAATACCTTGACCGGAAGCCCGTGTGGTTCCAGACCATGATGAATGATGGCCATCACCATACTTCTCATCATGAGACAAATCCGTACCAGCATCACTTTATCCAGCATTTTCTCCGAGAGCATTACAATGAGTGGATTACCAACATCTATGTCAAGCCATTTGTGGTGATACTATATCTCATCTATGCCTCTTTCTCCTTTATGGGGTGCTTACAGATTAATGATGGAGCCAACATTATCAACCTTCTTGCCAGTGAGTCTCCAAGTGTCTCCTATGCCCTCATCCAACAAAAGTATTTCAGCAACTACAGCCCAGTGATAGGATTCTACATTTATGAACCTCTGGAATACTGGAATGGCACTGTGCAGGAAGACCTAAAAACACTGAGCCAGGGGTTCAATACAGTATCCTGGATTGAACAGTATTACCAGTACCTTCGAGTGGGTAATATTACTGCAACCAACAAAAGTGACTTTATCAGCATCCTCCAGAGCTCCTTTTTAAAAAAGCCAGAATTCCAGCACTTCAAAAATGACATAATTTTCTCCAAAGCTGGAGATGAGAACAACATAATTGCTTCTCGTTTGTACCTGGTGGCCAGGACTAGTGAAAACACACAGAGGGAGGCGGTGCAATTGCTGGAGAAGTTAAGGCCCCTCTCTCTTATACAGAGCATCAAGTTCATTGTGTTCAATCCCACCTTTGTCTTCATGGACCACTATGGTTTGTCAGTAACTATGCCTGTCCTGATTTCTGGTTTTGGCATCCTGCTGGTGTTAATACTGACCTTTTTCCTGGTTATTCATCCTCTGGGAAATTTCTGGTTAATTCTCAGTGTCACCTCAATAGAGCTAGGTGTCCTTGGCTTGATGACCTTATGGAATGTAGACATGGATTGCATTTCTATACTGTGCCTTATCTACACTTTGAATTTTGCCATAGATCACTGTGCACCCCTGCTTTATACATTTGTACTAGCTACGGAGCACACCCGAACTCAGTGTATAAAGAACTCCCTCCAAGAGCATGGGACAGCCATTTTGCAAAATGTTACTTCTTTTCTTATTGGGTTGGTCCCCCTTCTCTTTGTGCCTTCAAACTTGACCTTCACACTGTTCAAATGCTTGCTGCTTGCCGGCAGTTGCACACTTCTGCACTGTTTTGTTATTTTGCCCGTCTTTCTAACCTTTTTCCCACCTTCCAAAAAGCACCACAAGAAAAAGAAACGGGCCAAAAGGAAGGAACGAGAAGAGATTGAATGCATAGAGATTCAGGAGAATCCTGATCACGTGACAGCAGTCTGAAAGGCTTAGGAAAAAAATTCTCTTTTTAAAAAGCGTTGCACAGAGATGCAGGGAAAATAGAGAAAAGATCTCAGCTGCTTGTGCTGGCCAGGTCTGACAAGGCAAAGGAAGATCAAGAAGGGGTATTCATGACACATCAAGGTGCAAACTTTTTTTAACAACAATAATGAAAGTAAAAGTAATATCAAATGTTTCCTTTGAATCCTCATTCTCCACTAAGGAAGAGTCTGTTGGCCATTAAGTGTTCCTGAATCTCAGACTGCAGTTCCTGATAGGAATTGTTTGATCTTTTTTATGTAAGACTGAAGCAGGGATGAAAAAAAAGAGTTACCATTAAGCTATTAATAGGGAAAAAGACAGACTAGTTTGATAAAGTTGTCCACAGAAAAGCATAAACACTTCAACTGAAAAAGGGAACAAAATCAGGAGAGTTTAAAAATGCCATGTTTTTTTTTTTCTTATTATTTTCTTGGGCAAGTTGGTTAAAACAAAACCTATGCACTTGGGAAGTAGATGTTTAAAACAATCTAAGCCAAAGTACTTCCCAAATCTAGTGTACCATATATATCTATAACACCAGAATTAAAGTGTTATTGTGAGTTGGCAAAGCTATACTGCCAAGTGATAGAGGTACTCTTTATATAGCAGAAGAAATAATCATAGGCCATTTGGAAACTTAATATTTAGTTCCTTAAAAACTGACATATGACCTTTATCCCAAGTGGTCACAACTGTTGGTCATCACCTTACCTACATTTTGGTATTTTTGAACTGTGAAATTCCCCTTGAACTAATAGATCTCATGAAACTAATCCAGGCCATTACCACTGCAACAGTATTTGCAGTTCCTGCAGTGTTACACTTTAGACTCTTAAGTTCTTAGTGTTAACATTAAATACTGAATATTAATCAAGCAGGCGCTTTATAAGTAGTGACGGGTGGCATATCACAGATATAACAATGTGATCGTGTAATAGCTGAGTCAGCTCTGGAGCACCCATGCAGTATTACCATTATATATTTGATCCAATGGACAAATATGTTTGCTGATCCCTGCAATATGCTGCAGGAAGTGGGATTTTCCCCTTCCTTAAGCAAAATATCAATCAAATACTTGCCACATATGAAAAAGAACTTGTTAAGGTTCTCATGGGGCTGAGTAAACCCCTACCTGTAAAAAGACAGATCGGTCCCCTGTGGGAACGGGAGGTGAGGGTGGAATGTCTTTACTATTATTATTCCTACATATTTGAGTGCTGATTGCAACATAAAGCTTTGTTCTGGTAATTGAAATTTCTTAGAAAAGTGCAGTAAATTCGCAGTTACTACATGACACTAGAAAACTGTACTGTAACTGAATGACTCTCTGCTTTGTAAACTATACAGCTTAGTACTGCAAAAGAAGGGATGAAAAGTGATCTAGCCATTTCAGTTTGCTCTCGGCCCAGTCCTATGCTGGAGCTTGCTACGTCCATCTCCCCTTTCAGTATTTTAAAAGGGCTTGCTTTCTACTGTCTGGCGTATGGTATAGCACCACCTACATGAGCAATGTCTTCCTGAATATATAGTATCCATGGGGACACTATGTAAAGATATCACTATATGGAGTGTTTATGTCTACTTTGTATTACTTGTGGGTTCCTGTAAAAGATGTCTGGAAGCTGTTGGCTTTCCAAAATGTGTATACGTGTTTGTTTGTGGCTGGTTAACTCAGTCTCAGACTTGCAGAGAAGTTTGCTGATGAGGACATGTACATATGTTTCACTAAAAAGTTCTCTGCAAGAAGTTTATTCTTTGCTCTGTGCCATCTCCCATCCCTTCCTACTGTTTCATGTTGAAGGAGAGCCAGGGAAAGTTCACTTGTCGCACAAAAAGCCATTTGAACACTGGTTCTAATGTTCATTCGCTGCTTCTGTTTCCAAGGAATGCAATTCTTCCTCTTCTCTCTACTTTCTGTACTTTGCCATTATCATTTGCCAAAAATGACCTCTGTGTTCTAGGAGTGGTCAAAGCTCTTAATAGTCTAAAAGACCTTTTGGTTGCAATAGAATTTACAGAAAGGAGAGCTTTTTAGATAGACAAAGCCTCTAAAGTTTGAATCCAGATCCAAACTTCAGGTGTATCTAGATCAAGGTTACTAGTTTGATCCGAGATATGCAAGGGTCAGCTGTAAAACTGAGATCTAAATAGATTAGTAAGATTTAGAAGCAGGGATATTTAATATTGGAATATGGCTCAGCTGTGTCTCTAATTGGAAAGTGTTACTGACCTGGATTTGCATCTTGAAGAGTTTGTGCAACATCCATGCTTTTTAGAACAATCAGTTATGAATGTCAGGCTGTCCACACCTCATCTTACATTTCTCTCGTCCATTAATGGTAAAAATTTGAATTATTACAGCAAAACTGTGATCCCTGGGTGTCACTTCTGAGGTTTTGGTTTTCACGCCAACTCTGTGTCTCTCAGTGAAAGTTGCTCATGCCCTCTTGAACTGCGCAGTTGTATCCCAGGGATCTCTGGCCTGCATTGTATTGAAGCAAGTAGAATTTTCCAAAGTCGTCAAAGCTGGTATTCATCTTCTCTAACTTTAGACATTGACAAGGTAGATATTTATATCTGAGCGTCTTTTACGGCCACAGGAGAGGAACAGGCACTTCTAAGATGAGATTCATCTGACCCATTTTACAAGTCTACATTAGAATTAAATGGATCGTACCTTATAAGTGCCTATTTCCATCCACTGGTGATAAAGGGAGCTCAGGGCAATTAGTTCAGACGCAGACATTGCAATGCAGACTCATCCACGTTTGGCGAATTTAATCCCACCTAAAATGTCCAAATATCAAATGAAAGAGAAAAGAAGGAAACTTTAAGAAATTCGCCTTCCAAGCATCTATTCTAGAGACAATTCCCTAGTGTAACTCAGTTCAAATTTTGTTTGGCTTTTATGCAGAACAGACCTTTTAAAAATTGGCACTGGCATCCCCTTAGCAGGGAATGATCAGGTGAGAAATCAGAGGATGCCACTGTGGAGGATGGGTCCCCACAGGGTCGTTCTTACAGTCTGGCACATTGAAATGAGCTAGAGTACGAGGAGATGTCAAATCAGCTTCTCTATGAATATTAGACATGCATACTAGCACTTGTGTATACCAGACATAAGATAAGTGATTACACTCTGGGACTAGGAGTTTTAAATTTCTATGTCAACATGTAATGTGTAGCAGAAAACAAACTAGCCCTTCCATAGGTGTTATTGTGTTATTTTACATATGAACTGTTTTCCAGATGCACTGAGAAAGGCCATTGCTACTGTCACTTTTGCAGATATGTCAGTCTCTGTGGACTAATGAAAAGTTTCACCTCAAGCTAAAAAGTTGATTTTCTTCTATAATCTAATTCTCACTGTAATAATGTGGGTAGTGGTGGGAGAGGTCCATATTTTTACTTTCTTCTCCTTTTGTTTACTTATTTTGGTCTTTTTCTTTAAATTCTACCCTCTGCTGGAGGCACACCACACCTGCTCAGCTGAGCTGGATTTCCATTAGCACCTGTGAAGACAGGATACAGCCCACAAAACGCAATTTGACACCTTGGTGCATATTGGATCTTCATATGCACTTTTCTGGGTTTTTTTCTCCCCCCCCCCCTCAGTTACCAGGACTCACCCGGGATATTGCACATATTCCTTTACTGTCTGTTTTTATATGTGCTCTGCATAAACCAGCAAGAAGCCTGTAAGCATTTTCATACTTCGTTTGGTTTCATTCCCTCAAAATATGTTGGTTCAAATCCATAGCTGAAATAACTCTGTTGAAATCAACAGATTTATTGCCATGATATATCTGGCTTTGCATGTTTTCTATCTGGTAAAAAGTGAAATCATGACAAATGAACCTCTTACATTTTTGATATGCTTGTTGAACAGTATATCTATCTGTCTATAATATATAGCCATTGTTGCAGGCTGTATTCAGCAGGCTGCAGTGAAGGTATCTTTTGCTTTTGTAATTTCTCCATGTCACTTTCCCATACTGGCTATTTTAACTTTAACTAACCACCTCTGCAGTCCCGTACTTGATGTTTCATAAACCTGTTGCCTAACAAAGTCACTTTTTATGGCCACTATAGATACGGATGCATGGCACCTTGCATGTATAATTTAACATAATGTTCATTTTAAAGAGATTATCTTCAGGGCTGTTGTTCTTAGCTTTTTATTTCAAACAACTCCTATTTACAATGTTACCTACCACATGTTAAGATCTATCTGAATTTACTTGTGCAACTCTAATTTTTAAATTTTCTCCAGTGGGAAGGAAAGGAAGGAGTAGGGAAGGAAGAAATATGAAGTAAAATAGTTGTATAAACAGTATTCTTTTTTCCCAGAAGGCTCTCTCTGCTCTATTCTTAATTAAGTCACACTGTGTAGTGACTCAAGCATAATTAAGATTTATTTCAATGGAGTTATTCCATATTTCACTAAGACAAGTGCTTGGCTCATGCTAAGTCTCTTTGATTAATTTTTCTACAATATAAACTTTAATAATTTCTTTTGCATTGCAACACTAGGTTTTTGAGTACCTCAACTTTCATTTGATGTCCTAGAAAACACTTAAAGCAAGCAAAGTTAGGCACTTGGTGAACAAGACATACGAGGTGTGGGGGAAAAGGGATGCTTTACAAAGAGGTGATGTACCCTCCAGCAAGGCTCTAAGCAAAACATGAGGTTAAAACAATCTCAGAAGCATGTTACTTTGATGGAAATTCTTAGACTAAGGGAAGTGGAAACTGGGTGAAACGTATTGTGTGGAGGATTATGTAATCAAATTATAGACAGTTGAAACTTTGAATCTTTGTCCATCCTATTTTACTCAAGCAAGAAGGCATTTGAATAGGGAAGGAAATTAAGATTTGAATGTGGAAAGAAGCTCATACAGCACCCAGACTGCTGCTTTTTACCGTAGTCTTGCATAAAGGGATATCACAGAGCAAGTGCAGCTCTCCCCACCCCAGCGCGGGCTTCTCAAG